GTGCTTTATTTCATTTTTAACAACTTCTAATTTTCCTGGATTCATATTTCCTATGTATCGTATATCCCAATTACTAACAAATGTTTGCAGCTGTTTCCGACACATCAGCTGAACGATGGTCCCTGAAAGCTTTAGGCTGAGTCAGAAGGTCAATGCTGACGAGGGGCTCATCTTCCAGGGCCGTCAGACAGTGTACTGCTGTTACACATAAAGTTTTCAGTGGCCAATTATTTCTTCAGTCGCTAGATCCTTCTCCTATATCTTACTCTAGAAGCTCTGCTGAAAACCACCCACCTGGAGTGAGCCTGCTGGTACTTGAAACATCCTCCAGGATTAGAGCAACACAGAGTCACAGCCGTAAGACAAACTGACAGACCAGCAGTGGGAATATAATATATACACATGGTCAGGTATATGGCTATTCTCTATTAACAGAAATAACGAAACTAGGCATTATGTTGAAGAAACCCACATATTAGATATTCTCATTTCAAAGCTGTGAGTTTTTAAGTGCAGAATAAAAAGGAGGAAACTGTCTGAATTTTCAAGAAATTTGGCTTAAGATTATGTGAGGCCCTATGCGCTAGTAAAGGTGGTGGTTCAAGTCAACTGAAGTCTGGTACAAAAACAAAGCTATCCTATGAAAAGGGTAAGAAAATCAAACAGTGATGCCTACAAATAATGGTTCTCAGAATCTCTCCAAAGCGGGGATAAAGATTTGCTTTGAAGTTAATCATAACAAGATTGTCAACTTACCCTCATCCAATTAGATGGTATCATCTGTCCTCTAAGAGAGAGAAAAATTATTCAGGAAGATGGATACCCTTTTCCTCCAAAAGGAAACTGTGATAATGCAGCCAGCACCTGCCTTAAATGCAAGTCAAGTGCTGATCAAAAGGCACCTTTAAAAATGCAAAACGACTCTTAGAAGCAGGAATACAGGCCAATAATCTAGATAATATTCCATGAAATTAGCACTGCTCTCCACATGAGGAGAGCATGGAAACATTTGGTGGGAACTTTAATTCAGGCACCGTGTCCCAAGAATATTTGTAAGAAGCCTGAATTTTACTATTTATCCAAATAAATAAAGTTCATCATATTTTGAAAACTACAGTTAATTAAGAAAGCACATCAGACCCACAATGCTTATGCCAGAATAATTTCTTCAAATAATTCAAATGTGTTAAACGTTACAAGGCCACTTCTTAAATCATTACATATTTTGGTCTTATATGTGCACTTCACAATTTAAAATATATTTAACAATTATGAGACTATTCATACTTGTATTCTCCAATCTCTTTCAAATATCAGCATACTAGAATCAACATCAAAATGCAATGAAAAATCTTTAAACATGTACTGGAACACAACACACTCAAGAGTTATTAGTTATCAAGATACATACAACATGTTGTGTAAAGATTTAGACCTCAACTACAGAAAAGAACAAAATGTAACAAGACAAGGAAGTCCTTACAAGATTGAAAGGAGGAGGAGGAGTCAATCTTCATTCAACTGAAATCAGAGGTGGAAAAAACAAAGCAGTGACAAATGAGTTGAATATGTTAAGGAAAAGGAACCAAATATACAAGAGTCAAATCTCAACTCTAAGAATAAAGTCTCTTTATTTCCAGATATCCAAACATGACGTCTAGAGAAAATATCCTCACAGATCTTGCTGATATTAGTCACAGACTGTGGAAGGAGTAGGGAGTAGTGTGTTGGAGAACACAAGTAAGGTTCTAAAGAGAAAATAAAAATCCCTGCTGAAAGCAGGCAGCCTTTCTCCTTTTTTTTTCTATAGGAATCAAGGAAAAAGATTTTCCAACTATATGGTAACATATGGTACCACAAGACAAAAAGCACAGAATGGACACAAAATATTCAAAAAGATATTAAATTTGGACATCAGAACATCCTGTAAACTTTGCTCAACTAAAAATAAAGAACACAGGGCATTGGGAGGGAGAGAAGGCAGGTGGTGGAGAGGGTAGACAAAGTGATCATCAACAATCTAACACTTGATTCATCCAAATGCTTTGCTATTTAGTAATCAGGTATTCTCTGTAAGACCCTGTCATGCCAAGCCCTTTACACAATAATGCTCTTTACTTGATAAAACTCCCAACTCATTGCCAGACCTGACTTGGAACTGACTGACTCAAGGTAGTCTGTCCAGTAGGATTCCAGAGGCTGTGAACTGAAGAGGAGAGTACCCTGCAGCCACTGGAGAATTCAAACCAGCAAAAACGTCCAGCGTCTGGTTCAGGAGCACAACTCCTTATGGACAGCATTAAGTTGTTGTTTACTTAATGTTGTTTTACTTAATGTTGTGTGTGACTGAGTGACCTTCCAATGCGTTTTTAGAGTAAGTAAATTGCATGGGAGGAGAATGTCCATTTTTCTCTTGTGTAGCTTGCTGATGGATTCGAGCCAGAGCCTTATGGATTGCAAGGCAGCTTCTTACCATTAGGCCACAGGGTTTTTTCAGTAACAATCATAAAAAACAAAAGCATACCTTAAATCAGAAAACACCAATAATAATTCACAATCTAAGGTATCCTAGTGATCAAGTGTTCAACAAAAGAACGCACCATTTACTCCTGGAGAAAACACCTGGCTCTATAGTGACCCAGGAATAAGCAGCTGTTCCACTGGAGACGGACCGTGCGATTTACTCCCTCTGAAAACCCGCTGCAGGGCCAGCTCTGAGCTGGTTCTGACTAGATGGTACACACAACATTAGTTGCTCTTCTGAAGGTTCCAACCTAGGACACCCTCAAGGGCTGTTGTACCATGTCCGACAGGGTCTCTTGGAGTCAGGAGTAACTTGGCAGACCACAGGAACAATGCTGACAGCAAACATTTTATTTTATTTTATTGAAGAACTAAAATTATTCATCCAACTTGTTTAAACAAAAATTTTCATTTAGGCTAAACACTCTTTTCTAGGTCTCACAGAGCTGGGACAGTAAGTAGGGAGAGTCCTCAGGAAGCACTTGTAGAATTCCTCTAGGATCATCTGTTCGATACTTGTGAAAAATATTATTTTAAAAATGAACATCACTGTGGAAACCTACGAACAGAGTTGGAAACACTTTAGAGGTTTTCTTTTCCCAAAGGGAAGCATCAAGCATTCCCGGCCATTAACTCCTCCAACCAGATCATCACTGTCCGTCAACAGAGGCCAGCGGGTGAGCTCAGGCTTTCTTTTTCAGAGAGTCAGGTGAGCACAAGCATCAATCAGCCAGGCACCAACTCATTCAGTTCAAAATGCAGCCCCTTGACAAGGCTACCGCTTCCACGGGGCAGGTATCAACTTAAGGAAGCCACTTCATGGAATAATGGTAAATCTTTTATAGTTCAAAAGATACATTTGAGTATATTTTAAAAGAAGCTTAACCAATTCTACTCTGGCTCTGTATACTACTCTGAATAACTCAGTGAGGATTAGAAAAAAGTGATTTAAGTTAGAGAGCATTGCACTGCTTGGTGTTAGTAGGTGAGTTTATAACTATTGATGGTGGTGTGTCCAAAGAGTCGGAACCAACCCACAGATGACTGTGAGAGGCTTTTCAGAGGCAGTCAAGTTATTATTTTACGGCAATTATTCAGTTCACTGTTATTCACTGTTACTGAGTCGGAACCAATTCACAACTGATCCTGCAGTTGGTTTTCAGAGATTACAGATCATTCTGGAGGACAGTGCCCATCCTCTCTCACAGACCAGTGGGTGCATTTGGCTCAAGCAACTGTCGCTGGGTGGACAGCACAACTAGAGGCCCTAGGACCACTGCTGACCTCTGTGTCCCAGAAAGGAAACAAACCTGATAGATATCTGTAGTAATTATAATAACCAGCACAGGTTTAAATGGCACTGAGGTGACACTCTACCATACAGAAGGAAGGATATTTAAAACCATCCTGGGAAATAAAGACTTATGAAATCAGAAGTTCTGTGCATGGCTCCATCTTCTTAAAATGACTGGGCTTCTTTTCGCATATTGACTAAAGAATTGTTTTCTTAAGAGAACTCTTGCCTTAACAATTATAGTAATTACAGAAAGCTGGAAATATCTTCCCGTCAATGAGTTAGAACAACACTGTCTTTGGACTGAAGAGGAAATGCACCATTCTATGGGATCACAAATACTACATACAGGTCTAGACTGCCAACACCTTCTATATATGGCCCTGAAGCTAAGAATTATTTTTACATTTTTAAAGAGTCATTTAAAAAAAAAACACACTCAAAACCAAAACACAGTAAAGAAACAGAACAAAACAGACAAATATGGAGCAAAGACCACGGACCACAAAACCCTATTTACCATTTATCCTTTTTATAGTTTGTTAGACCATAAGAAAGAAAAAATTTTTAAAGCTGACAGGGGCTCATTTATAGAAAACACATTTACAGGTTATAGTATCTTTAGAGCCTTATATATTACACAACAAAGTAACTGAGAGAGCTTGACCTAAAATTTGAAACCAAGAATAAAATCCTATCAAGCAAAAATAAAGAAAGAACGGGATGTACCAGAGAAAGTTAATCTTAAATGTAGTGCTGGTTATGTTTCTGGAAGGGAGAATCTGTTGTTGTCCAGGGCTATTCTGAACAATGGAGGATGTTTCGAAGCCTCTTCCTTCTCTACTCACTGCATGCCAGTTAACACTTTCCTCAAGTTATACAGACTTGAAGGACCCCAAGTATTGCCAAGACAGTACCCTGGGGGGCAAAACTAATCTTGTTAAGTGCTACTACTACAGGTTATTGTCCTTCTGACCCCTCTTTCAAACATTAGGAGAAGACGTGGTTCCCAAATAGGTTTTCTCTGTGGCCACACACACACATGCAAAAAATACACAATGATAATCTTTTTAAAGGAAATCAGAAATCCTAGGAGAATCTTCCAATCCCAGAACTGAGCCATAAACTGCTGAGAGCTCTCTCAGAGTTTAAGAGCTGGGCACAAGAACTAGGCCAGACTTACCTAAAGCGCTGTGCCTGCTGAGCTAGCGGTCCTGGGTACCTTCTGTTTGGAGACTGGTACAGCTGGGAAAGGATGGCCTGATTGGTTTTTTGGCTTGGATTATTAGCAAACTTTACAGTGATTGGCTCTGTGGCACCAGGAGGTTTCTGGCCATTTAGGCCTTTGATAGCTTCTTCTGCCTCAATCCGCTTGTCAAATCGAATAAACCCTACACCCCTTGATATGCCTATGGTAGATTTGGGAAAGAGGGAGTGGAAGGAGGAGGGAAGAGAAGAAAGGATACATTAATTTTTCCTTCCCAAGAACATGTTTTCATCCCCACATAATACTTGAAAAAGAAAAAGAAAACTATACCAAGAGGACAGTTTAGCTTGCTAGTAATCCTGTCTAGAACCGTAATTCTGTTTTCTTTCATGAACTTTCTACATATTTGAGTCCCATTACCACATGGCTATCATTAAGTCAACCACAGTGAGATGCGAAGAGAAGGTGCTCGCTCTCTTCCTGCCCTTGCTCAGACTCTGAGAACCTTCTCCCCTCTTTGGTTCTCTGTTGCAGCCTAATGGTGCCGAGAGCAGACCCGAGTTCCTTGATCCAAACTGCCTACTGCTCCAGTAGCTCGGAAACAAGGGGCACCCTGGCTCTCTCTCTTGTACCAGGGAAAACAACAGAACTGGGAGTTTGCTAAGAACTCTAAAAATCTATGTTGTTGCTGCTGAACATCGTCGAGTCGAGCATGACTCATAGTGACCCTATGAACAAAAGGCCTGAAGCCTTCCTGTAACTATCGTCATTTATCAAAGTTCACTGAGACTCCAGAGGCATGTTGTTTAGGAAGTGGACGCCACTCCCGCTACGCTAAAAATTTATATACTGGTGGAAAGACATACTTTAACTAAAACTCATAAGTAACAAATTCAGCTAAATATATTGTGTAGGATATAAGCCCTTTCCTGATTCGCTCAAAGCTGCTTCTCCACAACTCCTTAGTAAGCTATCCTTTCCACTAGAAGAATAATGCTAGAATATGTGAAATGTCGTAATATATCGCAAAAATGTTTTTTATTGGTTTGGTTTTTGTTTGTTTTTTTTTTTACATTTAAAAATAAAGAACACATCAAAGATTCCCAATCTCGGAAGCATTACTCCTGAGTATGGAGAGGAATTCTATTCCTATCCCACAACAAATGGAAAAGCAAAGCGGAAGCCAAGGGTCCTTTCAGCTTTTGAGAAATGTCAGCAGTCAATCTAACACATTACATTTTATCTACCTCAACAGCCTAGTGTAGGCAGCCAGTTGCAGCTATTTACTTGGCAAGTAAACTGGTGTGAGTAGAACCGTTTGGGACTAGCAGTTAGAAAGGGCTAGAAACTCAGAGTCCACCAATAGGGCATAAAAATGAGGGGTTCCTGGAAGGACATACGCTTAGAGAAATGCATGTGACCAATATGGTTTACAGGGATTAGAAATGAAGGTCTCTTTGCTTTACAATCAATACGGTAGAAGTTAAAATTTCTCAGGGGATAAAAAAAAATTACTTTATATATGCATGCTTATTTGAGACATAACCTACCACTTTACCTTTCCTATTTACAATATGTAAATTATACATAATTACCAGCTAACAGTTGAATAACAATACTGTAGGGATTCTTTCCCCACCCTCCTTCTCCATTTAGGGTAAAGGGAACAAATTTGTTCTGAAATCTAACAAAACAGGGACATGAAAGGAAATACATCTCTTTAGCTCTTCTGTCAATCTGCTGTACTGAGGTAACCTGGGGTTGCTGTGATGCTAAACCTTGTGATGTCGGGTGTCAAATGCCAGAATGGTTACCCATGGTGGGCAGTGTTTGGTGGAGCTCCCACTTTAAGACAGGTTTGGAAGCAGGAGGGGCATCTATCTCATCTCCTAAACCACATGCCTCTTGAAACTCTGTGAACTTTGAGAAATGACGATAGTTATAGAAAGTCTTCAGGTCTGTTGTTCATAGGGTTGCTATGAGTCGTGCTCGACTCGACGGCAATCAACAAGTTATCTAGTAGTTCCTACTGAATAACCCATTGTACTTACCTGTCTCATTGAGAACACATTATATTTGCAGTGAAATGACCCTATATGAGCTGTCCCCCTAAACCAAGGGTCCTCAAACAGGTCTGTGCATCAGAATAACCTGGGGAGCTTGGTGGAACATCTACTTCCAGAATTTTATTAAATGAATGTGGAGTGCAGTCCAAGAATCTGCCTTTGCAGCAAGGTATCAGGAAGACCCTGATGTTGCAGGTGCATCTCTCCCCCTAGGTGAGAACATGGACTTCTCTGTGAAGTGCCAAGCTTACCTGGAGCCCACACACCAGGCAAGGACTGTCACTGAGAGACAGGCTTTCTGACCACAGGGCAAATCTATTTTCACTTCACCAAATTCCCATTTAAAAAGTGTAACAGATAAAGGAGAAAACCAAAGTGCACAGGTGCTACTTAAAAAACCCACTCTGCGCAGATCACTACCCCTGGACTTACTGCTGAACTCCTCTGTCCATAAACTGACTGTGACAGAGTGTGTATGAGAAATTAAAACATATATGGCAGGGTCCCACATTCTCTTTTCTTAGGACTCTAGGGGTTGTGATGCCTGCAAGATCAATTAGCAGGCCAGCAGTGCTGCTTCGGATCTCATTCAAATCATGCAAACTGCCGCTTAAACAAAAAACCTGGCTTCTGGAACTAAAAAGCTGGACTCTGTGGTTATTTCACTGGTTTCTTTAAAAGACACTTCCAGGTATAATATAGTGTATACCCAGTAGCATGATGATTATTAAAAAGAGAGAGAAGAGGAAGGCAAGAGGAACAAAGAGACAAAGGGGAAAACAATGGAAAAACTTAAATGACTTCCTTTTTTAAAATCCCACAAATTTGTAACATAGCTGCCGGAGTATATGGCTCTACAGGTGAAGTATATTCCACTTTGCCACGCTCCTCTATACTCTAAATGCTTTACAATGTACTTTTATTGCTTTTATAATCAACCATATATCTGTACACATCATTTTTAGAATTCATATTCAAATCTATAATGTTAGCTTTCCTTAACATTAGCTGAAGGCGTCTCTTAAAAGCACAGTTTTTAATAAGCATGTTAAGTCTTCACACTTCAGTTCTGTTAAAAGTGACATGAGGCATAAAGTAACTTTTTTAACATTCACAATTCCCCGTTCTTACACATGCCTAGACATCACAGCGTGGACCTGGGAGACAGCCTTCACAGCAATTATCAGACCAGAGAGAGTGCAGTCATTCCTTGGACAACCGGCTGCTATTCCTGCATTAAACTCTATTTTTTTTTTAATAAAAGTAAGATTGTTTATTGCTATTTCATAAGGAAGATGGGGGCTATTTTCATGCAGTGGCTTGAAAATGAAGATTATAGCATCTGTAAATTTATTACAAGCCATGAAACAGGCTTTAAGCCTGCACCTTCAGGGTCGAAATGACTCCGACTCGCTCACTACACGCTGTAATCTATTTTTGTACATGCATATTTATGAACAATTCCAGGAGAAAACTGCATTTTCTAGCCCACATATACCTTTGATGTGTTCTGGAGGCAAGACTGCTTTATCGGACAGTCATGTATTTCACCAGCTGCAGGTGGAGAGCGTGAAGGACTATCCCGAACGGCTGCCTACTTACCAGTCACCTGGTCAACAAGAATACGGGAAGTAATGATGCGTCCATACTGGGAAAAAAGCTGTTCCAATTCCTTCTGGGTCATTGTCTTCGGAAGTCCACTGACATATAAATTTGCATCTCTGATAGAAGCTGAACTTGGGCGAGCATAGGAAACCTGGAAAACAGAATACGAATTATACCCAGATGCACTCAGCCACCTTCATTCAGAAGCCAACAGGCTGCCTGAGTTAACAATTTTTTCTTAAGTCACTGAAGTTTAAAAAGCAAGGTTGGCTCTGACTTGTTTTGGGTAAAACTGAAAGTAAATGGAAATGGAACCCTGAGTGGGAAGGGGAAACTACATACTCCTCCAAGAGCCCAAGTTCTCAGCACAGATCAGCGGTACAGGCAGCATAATCTACTCTGGCGTTGGGTCATTTTCAGTGAGACCAAGTACCAGATTTAGGGACCCCGACTCAATCATGGTAAACTTTCTGTTGCCAGTTTCCTGGTGTCAGGAACGGTGACCCCACACCAGTGGAGGGTTTTTTGGTTGTTGTTTTTAGATTTTAATGTATTCATTCATTGTTACACATTTCTCTTCCTGTCCCCTCTACCCTCAGTTTGCTTTTTTCTTCACGAAAAAAGTTCTTTCATTGTTCTAGTCGTGTGTGTCTGTCCATCCCCCCTCCCACTCCACCCACTTTACTATGCAACTCTTATTCTGGACTCCATACCTGTAATACCTATATTCCTTTTATATAGTTCTCTCCCTCATCTGTTTCAATGCCATGAACATTATTTTATCTCCTCTTTTCTTAGTCTCCCCTCAACCCCTATCAGTCCTGTTCTGTAACAGTAGCATTATGCAGTATTTGTCTTTTTGTGACAGATATTTCACTCAGCATAATGTTCTCCATGGTCCCTATTTTGTATAATATTTCATGGGTTCTTTCTTTTTCAGTGCTGCATAATATTCAGTGGAATATTTGTTGGCATTTTTAGGAGCATATTGCCAGGTTTTTTAAGTGTAATGAGTCCACATCAGATACATTTCTGAGACTTTTCTTTCCAACTCTTCCCTCTTTGTTGTTGTTAAGTGTTGGCAAGTTGTGGTGTTAAGGGTTTATTGTTCAAAATGGCTTTCCAAGCCATTGACTGTGACATGTGGATGGGTGAGAATATGCAAATAGGGTGTGCTGGCCTATCGACAAGGGGACTGATTAATCTCTCCACTAAACTCAGCATATGAAGCAACAGCATTTGAACATCTCACCACCAGCAAAGCAGCAGCAGAGAATGTCGGGTCAGAGACTCTCGCACTATCAGATCTCCAGGTGATCAGCAGCCACCACAGAAGAGGATCAGAAAGCTGACATGAGACAGAGCTGACCCTGGGATGCCACCCCGCAGAGCCAGAGCGAGAAGCCTTTGCCCAGGTTTGTTGGAAGACTGGAGGTAAGGCCATAATGGCCAGGACTAAGAGCTTTTACAACACTGGTCTAAAAGCATGAGGCTGAAGGGCCCTAGAAACTGTATCCTGTTGACAACGGAAATTGTACTAACGTCTCCAATAAACTCGTGAGGATGCTTCTGTGTACTCTGTGAGTTACTGCCGTCAATATCAGACCCAGAAGAGCAGTAAGATAAGTGTTAGAGTTAGTAGAGAGGTGTGTGGGAGCAAGGGGGACATGCCCGACCCATGAAAACAGGTTTTGCGCTGTGGATGACGACGACAGGGCGAGTTCCCCCTTGTGGAGTCAGCGGAGGTCAGATCTGGCCATCCTCATGCCATCTTTGTTTTTCCACGAGTCCACTAGAGCATGGCAACCACATGATCAACAGATCCCAACCCCGCCCTGTGTTCCTGATCTCTGAGATGCTCCAGGCCAGCACTGCAGTCACGATGTCAGTCCATCTCACTGAGTCATGACCTCTGTTCTGCGAACCCTCTACCTTTCTAGCATGTCTTTTCCCAAAGACTGGCCTGAGAACATGCCCTAAGTATGTGAGACTAATCTGCAACATCTTTGCTTACAAGCAGCATCCTGGTTGCATGTCCTCCAAGACAGATTGTTTTATGACAACAGTATATTCAATATCGTTTCCCAACTCTGTAATTCAAAGGCATCAATTCTCATTGTCCAATTTTCATATGCATATGAAGCAACTGGCTTGCATCAAGCTTACCTTAGCCTTTAAACAAACAGCCTTGCAGCACCTTCAAGATGTCCCTGGCAGCAGAATTTCCAATACATTTTTTACTTCTTAACTACTGCTACCATGGGTGTTGACTATAGATACAAGTAAAATCAAATCCTTAACTTTATTTTTATGTTGCCTACTGGTCCAGTGGTACAGATTTTTGTTTATCTGATGTTGAAATAGAATCCACATTCAAGGATATAAATAGTCTTTGCTCTTCTGCAGTATTTCAAGTCTTCATCACTTTCTGCAATTAAGATTGTGTCATCTTCATAAAGCAAGTTGCTGATGAGTGTTCCTCCAATCCTGAGTTCACATTCTTCATCCAGTCCATCTTCTTGAATCCTGGGGAGTGATATTGCTTCTAGAAATGTTACTCTTCTTAAATCTATCCTTTTGATTTATTCCAAGTAATGTTCTGGTTTTCCTAAATCCCCAGAAGTTACATATGTGAATGAGTTCTGTTCCCCTCAATGTCTACTGTCTTGGCTACATGTGCTTTTTAGTCTTGATTTTCAAATAGCCTCAGGTCTTTTTATTGGCATTGCTTGTCATATCATGTACTCTCTTCAATTTCCTATCTTTTCAAATACAGAGTCCAAAGGAAATCTGTGTGTGTTAATTTACAATCACTCTTCATACAATAAACTCCAGAAGACAAAAAAAAAACAAAAAACCAAACCCCTAACCGTATCACTGTAGCCTCAGAGTCTACTAGTCAGTACATACCATGTGACAGATACAGAATATATACGGAGTGACTCCTACAGAGTACAGGCTTACTAGGGCACAGCATTTTAGGGACAGTTCACTATGTCATGTAAAACTTCTCTTTGACAACTTTTGCATAACTTCAACACCTAAGAAATCTCCCTAACCACATTCTCTATAAAGGAAGAATGGTAGCTTACTGGTAAGGAGATGCATGTCCAACCCAAAGGCACATAGTTCGAAACCACCACCTGCTCTGTGTAACAAGTATAAGCAGTCCCTTTCTGTGGCATTTTCTGCTTCTGGAAACTTGCTACGGGGTCAGCTATGGATCAGTTCTGAATTCAATGGGACATGCCATCATCATCATCTAGACTAGTCAACTGGAAGGACAAACTATTACAGACCTCATCTTCAAGATCACTGCAGTAAGTCAGCATGGCTGATGGGTTTAATGCTGGGTTTGGTTATGCAATGGTTGACACCAATCTATAATATAGGTCCCTGCTTTTACCAAAACCAAAATCTAATTTACACTAGTATTTAAACACCTTTTGGTGATAAGATACATTTTTCTCTGCTCTAAATTATGCCTCCAGCTGCCTGCATGAGCATTATTGTCATTCCTTTCAAAAAATTATTAAAAAATAAGCCATATTAGCCAAATATCTTGCTATCTTTTTACCTTTGTCTTAATAATGTTCCTACTTTATATTTATCCATCTTGCTCATGAACAAATGGAAGAAAAAAAAAACCCAAACAAGAACGTGTTGTTTCAAAGTTGTTATGTAAACATTACATTAGTACTGTCCTGTCTTACAGAGAGATATAACAATTTGAGAAAGTGTTGGGAGAGGTGAGAACCATTCACATATGACTGCTTCTGTCATTCCTAAATATTTAAGGGCAATGACACCTGGAAAACTTAAAAACAAGCAAAAACTAAGGAATAAGAGAAAACCCTAAGTGATACTAAAATCATTCCAACCCAACCTAGAAGAGTGGGACTCTCGTGCACAGACGTAATCAAAAGTCACTGGGACCTGCATATGCATTCAGTGATGTGGACAAATGAGCAATCCAATGCCTTTCTCAGGGTATTCTTCTCAAATTATTTGGGGACGTTAAAATCAACACATCTATACTGAGGTCTGAGATGCCAGTGTTTGCTTCCATGGCTCTCAAGTCAGCTGTTGGTCTACCCTAGATCACAGGACTAAACTGTTGCCCCCAGGAAGAACAGCTTTCTTGTGAGCTTCACAGATGAGAATCTGAATGTTCTCAAAGGAGGCTACTTCCAGTGGCAGGTGAAGCAGGTATTTTCTAGAGTGAACTCAAGCCTGGTGAAAAGTAGAGTTAACAGTGACTGAGCTTCAACAAATTAAATGTAATATGGACTCCATGAAACTCGTTGAACTTGTGCAGTTTAATTCCTCATAACTATACCTTCTTTACTGTTGCTGAAATGTGCTATTGAGCACCTGAGACTCATAACGACCTTATCTATGTACAACAGCCTTATACCCTGCTCTAACCTGTGCCAATCTTTTTGTGTCTGACACACTTACCCCCATTACCCCAATCACTGAATCAATTCATCTCATCGAAGGTATTCCTCTCATATGCTGTCCCTCCACCCTCCCAAGCATAATGTCCCTCTCCAAGGACTAGTCATTCCTTGCACTATGTCCAAAGCAGGTCAGACGAAGCTTCAGAATCCTTGCCTCCACAGTACAGCCTAGTTTCACCCTCCCTAGGACGAACCTGTTTGTTCTCCTAGCAGTCCATGGTATAGTTAACACTCTTCTCCAGCACCACAGCTCAAAGGCATCAATTCTCCTATCATCCCTAGTCACTGTCCAGCTTGCTGATGCATAGCAAGTAACTGCCAAAGACTATAGCCTAGATCAGGTGCACCTTAAACTCTGGAGATGTCTCTGATAGCAGATTTTCCCAATGCCATTTGTCTCTTGATTTCCTGGCTGCTAGTACTATGAGTGTTGATTGTAGAGCCAAGCAAACTAAAGCTGTTAACAACCTCAATCTCTTCACCACCTATCATGATGTTGCCAATCGCCCCAGTGGCATGAATCTTTATTTTCTTGATGTTGAGCTTCAATCTATACTGCAGGCTGTAGTCCTTGATCTTCTACAGTCAACCGCTTCAGGTCTTCCTCAGTTGAAGCAAGCAGGATTATGTCATCTGCATAACGCAGAATGTTGATGAGTTGTCCTCCAATCCTGATGCCATATTTCTC